TTATGGTAAAGGCTGGATTTTCTTTGCATAGTATTACCCATATTCAGATTGCAGGAAAACATTCCCGTGCTTAACAGAGTAGAATTATCCAACATGAACCCGGCGTGCCTCCATCCACAGAGCATGACAGTGACTACTACATATCACCAGATCTCAACCACATTCTGCAAACAATGACACATTATATAAAAAAACCAACCTTGTGTATGTGTTTCTTTCCCAGTGACATGACAGCTAATCATGATTTTTTCAGGCACGTTCACGTGCACGCTCTGAGGCTTTCTGCTCCCTCTCTCTGAGATTACTTTTTAATTATTTCCTCTGAGGCTGAAGTTTTTGTTTAATAATATGGATTTCTTTAAAGCATCAAAAACAGATTCAGAAGCTGGTGCTAATTAAGCGCTAACAGGGAGGACCTCTGGAGTAGAACTTAATCAATGTCAACTAACGATCAGAAAAGACAAATATTTTATCAAATGTCCTTAGGAGAGACAGCTTCAAGCTACACAGACTGTTAATTTGTTGCAAATGTGAGCTATTTAAATTGCACATGTTCATATGTTCTTTATTAGAAGTTAATATATACAAGTGCTGCTGGTTAATTAATTATTCTGACCTTTATCCAAACCAGGGATGTGTCTAATTATAGAAAACAACAACTGCACATATTATTATCACACTATACTGATGAAGTGTCCAACATGAGCCATATATTATGAGGCAAGGTACTAAAACTTTATGTTTGATTAAGTCAAGCAGCTTCCGAACAATAGTTTCCTAATTAGAGTTGCCTTAGCATGACGCAGTGCTGGGATTTGACACGCCGAGGTGAAAGCCAATAGGTTGGCCGCTCACACGGAAAGTTACACAAAGTAATGAGTCTAGACGAGGCCAGATGCCGGTGCTCTCGTCCGCCGCTGACTTCTGACTAGGAGGGAGCCAGGAGGATCATGGGATTTGACAAACCGGATTGAGAACGACAGTTTCAGGTCATAGAAAAAATGTCTCCAGTCCACTAATGAAAGGCCTGAGGTGTGTCGTTGAAATCTTTACACCCATATAAAAGGATCTGGCTATATTATCCTCTTCTTAAAAATAAAAAACTAATCTCATCCTGCAGCCTTGGCACAGCACCAAATATAAGACTAGAGCTCCTTTTTCATGTTCCTCTCACACCCACTTTCTCCTCATTCCCTCTAAAGTAACAGTCCAGGGAGACAGTGGTTTGGAATCCAAGTATAAGTAATTATTTCATTTTGCTATTGTTGCCATCCTATTGGCTGACACTGCTAAGGTAAGTGGCGCCTCATCAAACTGTCTCTCTGTGTTGCTGCCTGTCTGTCTGTCTGCTCTCTATTCTTCCTCCATCACTCCAGTACCATCAAACAGATGAACTTCTTTTCTCTCGACATGCAGCGTGATTCACAATGTTTTCTTCCACCCACCTCTTGTTCCTTTCCTCTGCCTCAGTCATCCACTTCACAAGACTACTCCACAATGCCTAGCGCCGCTTGTGGGTTTATGTAACCTTTCCTTTCATTGACTTAACAAGTTGTCCTGGGTTGAGCTGCTGCGTGTGGTTCAGTACATTGTGTCCTTGTGAGCCTGCACGTGAACACACAAAATGGGGATCCACACCCAGTATGTAGGCAACCTTTAACTGAGTACAAAAACAATCACATACAAATTCTTGAGGTTACCATCAGTCTACTACTACCCTGCCCCAGGTTGGTTGTGCCAATTAGATCAGCGGTTCCCAACCTTTTCCCTCAAGGGACCCCTTTCCTATCATTTAGTAAAGTGACGACCCCTGAGTTAGTGACATATTTTATGGATATTTCATATTATATTCAAATCTGTACAATGAACCAAAGTGAATTATGATGAATTATGATGAATTATTTCCTATTTAGAGAACATTTATACAATTCTCTGTCTGTATTATGTATTCTTATAATTTTTAACAATCATGCAGGCTTACTAGGCTTCTTTTTTGACAAATTCAGTGTTTTCTTGTCCCTGGCAATTGCTCTATTAGACAATTTACATTACATTTACTTTTCTTCACAGAAGTGAACCAGATACTGAGATATAGGCCTACTGTGTATATTTTTAACATTTTATAGCATGCATTAAAATTAAGACGCCTTGCGACTCCCCATAAAGCTTTGGCGACTCTTAGTGGGGTCACAACCCCTAGGTTGGGAACCACTGAATTAGATTGTAGTCATTTGATTAAAGGAGCAATGTGTAAAATATTGTCTCTTTAGCTGCTCTCTGAGCTTTAGAAACCACTGCCTGCTGCTGTTGACTTAGTATCTCAAAATAATAAGAAACTTTATATTTTGATCAATATTTTGATACTAAATCTAGATACTATGGTCAAAATATTGATTAAGTTTCTCATTATAATTACTTACATTATCCCTTATATTTCCCCCTTAAACTGGAAGTGGGCTGTACATCAGCGGCCAGAAAAACCTTCCATCTGACAGATGGACATATGTCACATCCAGTCAGAGCTGACATAAGTCAGCTACAAATAAAACCTTTAAAAAAAGAAGTTGGCAAACTTGTTTCTCTGCTATTCATCAGCAGATCATCAGCTAAAGTTTTGTTAGTACTCAGTCCCTAACAGAGGCACCTACTCGATATCACAAAACGGTACTTGTGCACTAACATTTCTCTCTCTCTCTCTCAGTGATTTTACATCAGAGTCTCTTACCAGTGGGAAGGCGTGGGAGATCTTGCCATCTGGGGGAAGTTTAGCACCAAAGCCGTATGCAGGGAAGAGTTTGTCACTGTCATAGTCCTGGATGATCTCCCCCACAGCCTTCAGAGCCATGGCGTATGCATTCATCTGGTACGGACTCATGTAGTGCAGTGAGGTGGGCTGTGATGGGTTACCTGGAGAAAGACGCACCACACCCAGCACACACAAAGCACAGGGATCTCATATTATAGAGGGATTAGAAAAGCTCATAGTACGATTAACATGACCAACTACTTTTTAGATAATCAAGACATGCAAATTGATAAATGTATTAAAGCCATGTCCACTGAAATAGTGAAAAGTGAGGGTGAGTGCAACTGCACCACTAGATGCCACTAACTCCTACACACTGGTCCTTTAATCACAGCATGAAACATGGATAAAATAAATTCCATATCAGCCATTTACTTAGCTTATCCCTGGTATTACGCCAAAACGTGTAATACCACCAGTCCACCGTAGCAGTGTCACGCTTTGCCTCGCCAGTTTTCAACACAGTCTCATTCCACAGTCAAGTTAGCAATAATAAGTATATAACATCCGGTTACACACAGAGTCCTGTGTTTGTTTGACCCATCCATCCACACCACCTGCTTTCTATGTGGACTTTGTTACTCTTTATACTACGCCTTAATAAGCTGGAGATATACTGTGTATCATGCGTTAACGTCACAGATGTTTTCTCCTTTTTCTGAGGATGTGCACAACCAATGGTCCAAACGTGAGGCAGCCATCATGCATACACATATATGTAGTTAAAAGCAGGGTATTACAGTAAAAAAAAAAACAGGTCAATGCGGCACAGCTGCAGATAATTCCAGCACAACCCCTGAAAACCACTGAAACATCTATCTCCCTGGATATTGACACTGACTGCTTGCTCATTCAGCTGTAAATTACTACATACCCTTTCCCTACATTCTCCTTTTATTGACTGAGGGGATTGACTGACAGATCTTTTTTTTTTCCTTCTCTCATCTCAGATATTTTCCTCGTGTAATTATAAATCTAGCTTGAAAAAAGGGATAACAATGATCAGGCTTGCAGTCATTGAGCTAACCCAGGGGTCTGCAACTCTGTGGCTCTTTAGCCCCTGTCCAGTGGCTCCATGTGGCTTTGAATTTTATCACTGTTGTAAGCCTAAAGTAATTCTTAAATTATCCAAGTGTAAAAATATGTAGCCTATACATGGAATCAAATAAATGTGTTTGCATTTTGTTAAATAAAATGTGTCACAACTGAACTGGACACATAGCTGACAAAGGCTTATGTTTGTCCAAGTTGAAAAGTCTGAGAACTGAGTTTGAAGTTGTCACCCATCAAAAGGTCATTCTCGCTCAAAAACTGTTTGACTTTAAGTATGCTTTATACATTATTAAAAACGTCATAGTGACGAGTTTGGAACCAGTTTAATTGATTTTTATTTTGGTTGTAATAATGATGTCTTATCATGTTTGTTTTGTAACTCACTGCAACCTTTAAATGTTTTACTGCAGTGGTTCATATTATATTTGATGCATGACAATAACAGTAGAGAACACCTGATGGACTTTACAATAAACCCAAACAGTGAACACAATAACTGACTAGGATGAATTTTGAGCAGAATAATTGCATTTTAGGAACTTTATGTGCAATCATAAATAATTAATAGGTTTCCTTTTCTTGTCATTGTTCTATCTGCTTTTTGGTTGTTTTAACTGCATACTTTTCTAAACCACTGGTTTAACATACATGGATAAAGAAAAATACAGTTGTCTTATTTGTAAGAAATTACACCAAAAGAACCAGTATTAGTTGACATTGACAACAATGTATAGATTTTTTTAAAATGCTACTCAGCGCATATCTAAGTCATATGCACAGGGACAACAAGGGGTGTAAGAAAATATCGAAACATTTTGTATTGTGATATTGTATTGATTCACTGTTGATTTTTGTGTTTAAACCCCCAACCGCTAGAATGCAGTGTTGTAAACTGAGTATCGTGTCGCCAGATTCTTGCCAGTGCACAGTCCTAGTGACTGACAATCATATGTTGTAGGAATATTACAAAGGGGAGCAATCCAAGAACAGCCCAAAGAGTCCATAATTCAAGCAATAACTGTGACAATCACAAACATTGCAGGTAAAACATTTTGACTGAACAACACGTGTGGACATTTCCTGCATGCACAAGATGTAGCGCTGTCCTACCGTTGGATGCTGTGAAGTCTATGGCCACAGTGAAATTGAGTTGTGTCCTGGTGAGAGTATCATTCAAAACAGAGATGTTAGGAATGTGCCAGTATCTCCAGATGGGAGAACATTTACAGCTGTTCAGGCTAGACTGAGAAACTCCTCAACGGCTCACTGCTATCACTTATAAAGCACCAAGCAGGGGATCTGCACCATGATTCAAACAATACGAGTCCATTAACTTTCAAATTGAAGTGCTGATAACCTCTGTTTCGTCTTTACATGTGACTTTGTTCATGCCGAAGACTTTCTATGTGTTTCTCCGTGAGTTTTATTCATATTACTAGAAACCACATGCTGTTATCTGAGTATGCTTTGGAAAAACAATGGTAGCACGTTTTTAGATTTGTGAATGGGTCGTGCAGGCCTTCATTATTTCAGTATAATACAAAAATCCAATTCCAGATAAACATCACATCACGGAGGACATCATATCTGCTAAAAGAATATTATTAAATAAAATGCTACGGTATCCATAAAAATATGTCCTGTTGCTATTGAGAAGAGTTCTAGCATAGTAGTATCAAAGCTCAGCCTTGGTAATATTGCCATTTTATTCCAACGAGTTTCATGCTTAAGCCTACAGCTCAAAATCCTTGAACCTGTTACTGTCGATAGAAAAACTGAAAAGAACTTTAATATCCTGAAGCATGGTCATCTGATGTCACTCTACCCACTTTGTTACATTATGCTTATGCTTTGGAAAATAGTGGGAAATAATTTCCTACATGACGTGATTGAAAACTTCTACAAATAATAGCCTAACTTGTAAAAGGCTAAGGGCACAGTCAATTCAATCAATACCGATGGAATTGCCACAATCAGTGGATTCCCTTAATCAAGTAAATCTGCAAATCTTGCCTTAAAGTCCCAGTGTGTTTTTAGAACAGGTTTTTGGTTAGATGTATCAAATTCTGATAAGCGATTCATTTTGCGGGGGTTGTGGCGCTACAAAAAATGTATTCACCATTTTACATCCGCATCTTTCACAATATAACCTTATGGGAAAAGATACTTTTGGGCCAGTGTGCAATAACACGGATCAGCTACTATGTCAAATTGGCTTTGGGGCCTGGTGCACTTCCTGGGGGCTTGGTTTATAGCCTAACATTCGTTTTTTTTTACTTCTGGCTAACATTTATGTTTCAAAAATAATAAAAGTGGTGTTCCATTGTGAAGAAGCTTATTTTCTGCAATAAGTCCATTGGCTTTTTGTTGAAGGAACCAGGGCAATGCTAACTTCCGGGTTGGCTTACAATAATACGCCATCCCTGCAGCTCTCCATTATGAGAGCTATTGTGCTAGCCCAGCTGGCTAGCATGTTAGCAGGTACCTCACCAGTCAAGCAGTCTATCAACTTGCCCTGTGACTCTAGAACCAAATATTTCACAAAGACGCACAGATTCATTTCAAGATTCAAATCACTTTCTGGTGCAACCCTGCCTTAAATCGAGCAAAAACCTGGTGCAGAACTTTCATGGCTTCCCATAGACACTGATTAAACACTAGAGACCGAGCTCTTACCCTCCTCTGATGAAGTCGACAAACGTGTATTCTGACTCCACTTTGAAAGACAGCAGGGTCACCTTGAAAATGGAGAGAGAGAGTGAAAGGGAAAAGAAGGAGGGAGATACAAAGAGGAAGACAGCAGTGGACAGATAAATGGGGCTCATGGCAGACACCATCAGTTTGCTGCTCTGACATGTCCCTGCTTCAATGAAACATGTAACAGCTGCTAATAAGACACACTCCGACAGGTCTTACCGTTCCTGAATTGACGTATTTCTTCTTCTTGCCTTTCTTTTTAGGATTCAGAACCTTGACCGTGAGACAGGAAACAAGAAATTAGTTTTTTTTTTTAACAAATATGCCTGAGCAAAAATGTGTAGTCATTCACTGCATGTCTGCGTCAATGTGCCTGGATGTTGATAATATATTGTCCTGAGATGAGGGCTGCAATTTATCATACAAGAAATAGTACTTAAATGAATAATAAATGACGCTGCCAAAGGAACTATTGATGTTGCTGCAAGTTCCCAAAACACTGCTGAATTTTTGATATCCTTTACACATTCAGGAAAATAAAGTTTTGGAGAAACTGTGTATTCCTTTTTAATTATGCTGATCAAGTTGCTATTCTTGTATTTTACCTCATAGACATTGAACTGGCTTTGGCCTCTGGACAGTTCTCTGTAGCTGGTGGTGAACTCTCCGATAAAGTCATGACTGGAAGAAAAGTTGATTTAGACAGGAACAGACAAGAGACAAGAGAGAGGGAAACTGTTATACTACATCAGTAACATGATTCCTAATAGGATAGGTATAGATATATATCATTCTGTGTTAAAACTGCTATAACAAAGAATGATAATTCGAAAACAGATGGTTTTATTCAATAAAAGATACCAAGAACACCGGGCACTCTTTAGGTCTTTCAATTACACAAGAAATTGACCCCTCCCACCCTGGCCACAAACTCTTTGACCCTCTCCCCTCTGGCAGGAGGCTGCGGTCCCTTAGGACCAAAACCTCTCGCCACAAAAACAGTTTCTTCCCATCTGCAGCTGGCCTCATTAACAAGGCCCAGACCCCCCACTGTCACGGACTCTCATACCCACCCTGTTTATACAGTATGCATTACATTAATGGACTCCCGTCTTCTGTACAGTTTTCCTATCTTTATTTATCTATATTTTCAAAAAAAAGTACTTTATTCTTGTGTGATTTTTGTGTGATTTATATATTTATCTTTTTATTTTTTTGTGTGATTGTATATTTTATGCACCATTGCACCAAGACAAATTCCTTGTATGTGTAAAAACCCACCTGGCAATAAATCTGATTCTGATTCTGATTCTGAAGACGACAAATCCAGATTTGTGGTATTATATAAACGCAAGCAAAACATTGGACTCCCTAAAAACTTCACTCAGGGGCAGTGCAAATAAGTTTTGAGGTTCTGAACCAATTTGTTTTTTTGGTCAAAATGCTCTGAACGTTTTGCGCCTGATAAACGTTTTTACATTTCTTCTCTTTGGTAATTACAATTTTGACCGTATAAAGTACACAAGTTGAAAAAAACAATATATACCACTCTAAAAACAATTAACAACAAAAAAATTAATGTAACATCTTGCATCATTTTTTTCATCATTTTTTTTTTTTAGTTATGGCAACTTATAATGAAATGATGTTTAAAGGGGAACTTGGCAACTCTAGCCATTTCTTCACTGGTTTTCACTTTTGTCGTTGTATGTTTTCTCAACGAGCTCCCCCTACAGCTCTGGGACGTATATTTCAAAAGACTGTCGTAAAAAAACTCACTTGCGGCACCCTCCTCCCCCTTTCTACCGCTGCTGATGTGCATTTGTTGCCGGGCAACTTTTTTGTGTGGAGCAATGTCCACCGAGGTAGGTATTACATTATACACAGTATCATACAACATTGCGTTTATGTGGAATTGCCGTAAAGCAGTTCATGTTTCTCGCTCGTTCTTGCTTCTCATGATACTTCCTATTTTCCAACTTAACATGGTCACTGCACTTGATTTGTGCCAGAATGAAAGGAAAGAAGGTTTTGATGAGTTCAACACATTTTCCATCTGAACATGAAAATAATCCCCTCCAGCATCATCAGCTAAACAAGTAAATATCATCTCCCTCCATGCCCTCAGATCATCTCTGCATCTCAGTATATCACCACCTGAAGCTGTGCGTGACACCAATGCTGCCTGTGCAATGCTGGTATTTAGAGGGGAATCCTCAAGGAGCAGACAATGAGTTCTATCTCCCAACGGGGAAGGAAGGAAATGTAACGGAGGGGGAGAGAGGAAGCAGTAAGAGAGAGATGTTTAGGTCTTTACCAGGAAAGCAAGAGATTTTCTAGTGTTGTCATGCATGTGGATATAATCTACTGCCCTCTAATCACAAGATGTCCACCCTCCTCCTCTTCTCTCTTATACATATACACACTACTGCTCAAAATCAGATGGCTGGGAGGACTACTCTATATTTCTGAATGGTCTTTCATGCTGTTAGGTTGTAGAAAGTCTTCTTTTAAATGTATTTATTTTGTATGAAGAGTTTGCAAAAAAGTAATATTTTGTACACAGAGAACAAAAGACTGTACAGTGGTTCTACCAGAAGGACAATTGAAAGAGCAGAAAGAGACATAGATCCCTCGGAGCGACAGTTCAATAAGAATATGAAATGAAATCAGCAGTCATTGGTTAAAGAAATCTGAGGCTTAACATTAAAATCTGCTCAGATTTAAACAGGAACAGGATCCTGTTTTAGTGTCAAGTGCAGAATAATGTCTAATGCATGCTTTAGATGCTATAGATATAACTGGAAAATAGAAATATAATATTAGTCTAGGGAAGGGGTTTTCAACTACATTGTCCAAGGGCCAGAATTTTTTCTAAGCAGACACTGTGGGGCCAGCAATAAAAAAAAAAAAATACATAGGCCTAATTAGCCTCCTATTAGTTGTTGAGTTATTTTTCATCTAACAGCTCACTGTGGCTGCATTTTAGATGAACAATAGCGGGCAGCCAGTGCCAGGTTCACTTTTCATTTCTCATGATGACTACTTCATAATAAATGTCAACTTGCGTGTCGTCAGTTAAATGCTTAAAATGTGAAGTTGCAGCAGTAGGAAATGTTCAGTTTGTATGAGCAGTAATTTAATACTGCCTTTCACCAGGTATTTTGCCCCAGTTCTTAATTCTGTAAATAAGGAAATATTTAAAATACTTTAATCATTGGCCTTTCTGAGGACCAGGGGGAAGCTTTGGACCCCCAGATAAAGGGCCCTGGTCTGGGGTTAGCACTTTTGGAATTAGATCACAGAATGAGTATGAGAGTCGGATTTTTAACTTGACCACAATTTCACATTTCGTATTGGAATTTTCATCATTTGTGTTTCCACATCTACAGGAAGGCCTGGACATATTTTTTATTCAATATAAAAAGTCAAGTCTTCGAATACAAGCGTTGTTGCATTGGTATAAAAGTGAGATACCACAGCAGTAATGGTAACTTGTGAACTTGTGATGGCCACAGCCATGGCCACACAGCCATGTTAAAAGCGGTAACCTCATACACTTACACTTTCCTTAGTTCATGCTGTTTTTCCTTAAGATTGGTTTATATACCTTTTCAGACACATTATACATTTTGTTGCAAACATTTATTTAGTTTTAAATAACGTACAGGACACTTGGTTTGTTTTACATATATACTTTATTTAGTTGACCATGGAAGGGTATCTTTTTGGAGCGCGTACAATTAGTTGTTTTTGGATTAGTGTTTCTGTTATAATGGTTCTCTTTTGAGCTTACCAGCATTGTGGATTCCACACCCTGGAAGGATGCATGCAGTCTGCTGGGTCAAAGGGGTGGTGCCTTGAACAAGAGCAGCTTTATAGGGGAGGTGGCCAAATTCGACACTACCACTATTTGTTATGTCCGGGGGGATAGCTTTATTTTCTCCCAAGATATTTGAGTTTTGATTTATATTATATTAAAGATATTTATTTGATTAATTAAGATTACATTTCTTTTGGAATAAGTGTTTAGTTGTTTTTTTTTGGTTATTTGTTACCTTTGTTCCTCTTATGGTAGGTCAGTTGTATTTTTGAGTTTGTTATGGTCAGAGCTTAAGTATGGTCTGTTTGTTTGACCTCTTTTAAGGGCCCAAACTTTATCATTATTTTGTTGTAATGATTATTTTTGGTAAAATCAAAAACCCTTCCTTTTGAAATTCTCTTGTGACTCCTTTTGCCTAACTGCTTGGTCCCTCACAGTACTGTACACTGTACTGTACTGTACTTCCGTCTATATGTAACACTTGAGTGAACTATATTGGGGTCCTTGTATTCACTGGGCCCGAACACTGGGTTTAATCTTATCTGAGTGAAAGATGGCACACACTGCAGTCTCTGGCAGAATGATTACACAGGAGTTTATTTTGACACAATCGTGTCCTTATTTTAAGATTAAGGCCTGAAATCTCTGATAATTGCTTGTCATCTGAATAAAAGTTCCTTGCTTTCCTGTGCCCTGGAAAGACAAATAGAATTGTCTGTCTCTGAAAAAGCAGCCAGCTATGCAGAGAATTACTGTCTGATGACTGCGTCAGACCGCTGCAAGACAAAAAATTACCTTGAGTTTCCTCCCGTCTTACACATTGCATGGCAGGGATTTGTAAATCTGGGAGAAATTCAAATGAATTCTAACTGAAATGTATGGACAGCAGTAACACAAGGCCAGACAGCTCGAAAAACCCACACGAGGTTTCCAATTAAGTGTGTGAGAAGAGCTCCAACAGTGACCCACTGTCAGAGAGAAAGAGAAGCTATGTTAGTACTGCGGCCAAAAACCCTGACCACTGTCCAATCAGCTGCCACCTTTCACCTACAAGTTGTTTTTGATTTATCACCCAGCTTGTGGCAGGCGGATGGAGCCCTCCATCTGTTCGAATACCTAATAATTTGACTGAAAGAACTGCACCCAGATGGAACAAGGTGTGACATCCGTGGGATTCAATCTGGAGCTGAAAATGAATAAAAAAAAAAAAAAAAAAAGAGAGAGATAGCGAGCGAGAGAACTTACCTCCCGTCTCTGTCCCAGTCGTAAACGTCCACCTTGACCGTCCTGGAGGGAGGTGAGATGAGGGAGCAGAGGTGAGATTCACAGAGAGGAGAGAGAGTGTGAGGGTGAGAAAGAGAAGCGGCAGAGGAGAGAGATCGACAGAGAATGAGTCAGGAAGTAAACATTTTTCTTGGCCTTCACATCAAAGGATATTTCATAGTTTAAAAGCAACACATATTTAAAGGATGCCTATTACAAAATACAGATAATACAGTTATATTATAAAAGATTAATAACAATACCTGTACAAAGAGGAGTTTTAAAGGAATATACCTGTATTTCACAATGCAAACACAGACACTTATAATATTCAATGTTCACTCCACAGCATACACTCCATGAAAACACTTTGTCATAGTAGGTCAACAGCATAATGAAATATTAAATAATGCCAGAGCCTGTTTACAGCTGGTATTAGAAAGTGTCTCCACTTGTGATCAGATCTCATTTCCTCGCTCTATAGGGCTGTACCCTACTCAAAATGTTGTCAATGTCAACTGTTACTTTCCTTTTTTTGGGTTCAGTGACACACTAACCCGTCGCTTCTACCTGCACTGTCAGCAACCCTGACAGGGAGAGGAGAGACTGAACTTTATGAGCAGAACACACATTTCTTCTTTTTCAACTGTGTGGTAATCTGATGTTTTCGCATCACAGATGACAAAGAAAGACATTAATGCCAGGCTGCTCACAGGCTGTCAGTGTGAGAGTCACTTACAGTGGACAGTAGTAGGAGGTGGTTTTACCGCCGTCTAGCCAACACTAAGTAAATAAAGAAATAACTAAGTAAAAAAAACTTCATGTGTAACATTTGCAAGAAGGCCCAAATAATTAACAATATGTCGTAGATAATGTTTCACAAAGTTTAGAACGTTTTTCCTCACTCAGTAACTCCCAAAATGTTTGAAGAGAGTCTGGGGATATAGTGGTTACTAGTTCAGTGGTCAAATCAAATGAAACAGACAGAAACAAGAGCCCTAGCACATAATTCACATCACTGTGAACTAAATAGACAGTGTGTTTTGTGTGTACTTGCAGTGCGGAGGTAGTCGTCATTTGTGGCCCAGGATGCATTAGCATTTACACTACAAAAGATATGTGGTCCCAGACCACCTCAGCAAGTGGTTTGAGTGATCACAGTGTCTTGGCGGTCATTTACAGTTGTATTTAGAACTGTCCACTTGTGATCGGATCAACCAAGACACATTCTAATAGCAGTTGTAAACAGGCTCATCAGGTATCCATTAAGTACAGTACCCACAGTAGAATACACATAACATTTTGATTAGGTTTTGCCTAGAGCCTCAGAAACCAACCAGTACCTGTGGCTGCTTTAAAGTAATCATGATAGACTGGATATTGGCCCCATGACAAGTCAGGGCCTCTAAATTAATAATGCGGGACCTGCATTAATAAGGTCTTAACCATTTCAGTTTACACGGCTTTAAAATGACCACGAATGTCTATAAACAGATATCTGCATATGAATGCAGAATCTGTAGGAGGGGACTTCTGATTTTGTTGAGGACTATTTTCAACAGTGGATTAATCCACATTTGTGCTCCAGTGAGTATTTGGGGCAGAAGGACAGTGTATGTGGGACTGATCCAAAGTACTTAAACTACAGTGTGTGTTCATGGTAATGAGGGAACATGTCACCCGGTGCAACAGTCTGGCTCATTGATGTGTTTTTAATAGTTTTTGGCAACAACAGAGGAATAAGGTATATAAGCTTATGATACACACACAATGGTATTTGTTATTGGTAAAGACATATCTTTGACTATCGCCTGTTTTTTTAATCAGTGTGTCCAGGCAGTGTAGTGGTCACTTAGGTTGAAGAGGATAATGTTTGATGAGCCAATGCCTTCACTTTCACTTCTTTGCAAATGGGAAAGTTGCCTAGTTCGGCATATTTCGGTAATGTCTTCTGCGTAAATCTTGTCACTGTCCAACACAAAACTGTTTCTGCTACAGTAAACTCAAGTGGTGAAATGACAGTAAAAAGGTCAGTTTTAGTTTTAGTTTCTGTAGTTCATCATTATCAGAACCAATCGGAATTCTGAATTTGAGAATTGGGTTCCCTCAGGCTGCTCCTCACCTCTACAAGGTCCTGGTTTAAAACTAGTTTAGGATAAAGTTGAACCTGGAATGATGTTTTATGGTCACTATAAGTACAATCATTTAGATTTTGTTGCTGCATTGCCTCCGTGTTGGTCTCAATAACACCAGCACTGGCCTGAGACCAACAGCACGGCCGACTGCTGGCATTATTCTGACCACCAAAGAGTCCGACCCTCATATTCAGCTTTATACCATATGATATGATTTGTTCCACCATTCTTGGACATCACTGTTATCCAGTGTAATTTACAGCTGTAATTATTCCTGAAGGAAATATGAAGCACATTTTATACCAAGGAGATGTGATATTAAAAAATGTTCAAAACCAACATGATGAAGATAAGGTAATTTATTTATATAGCAGTCAGACTACTCAAAATCCTTCTGACACTTCAAAGGAATTGGTGGATCATAATAACATCATCTACCCTCTGACCCTGGTGCTATCCCCTTACCTGTCATAGTCTCCATTACAGAGTGCTCTAACAGGGATGGTGAAAGGCTGCCAAACAGGATTCAGATTGTTCTTGATCACCTCAGTTTTGTGGCAGATTGTGAACCTGGAAACACAAAGAGACAGCTCAGCATGGTAAGGATGACAATTCTAAAAAGCTTTTTTTAAAAAAAAAAAAACAACAAAAAAAACGGTTAATGGGAGCTGGGATAGACCAACACATTCTCACTTTCAATTTGTCAAATACTGCCGCTTGGTCAGTTGACCCTCCGCCTCCGTCATTTTTGCATGTGCAGGGCTCCACAGTCAAGCTAGCAAGAATACATTTGCAACATCCAAAGACAAAATTCCACCATGCATGGCCTAATGATGTTGCGTCTTGGGTCCGTCAACCCATGTCTTCATCATCCATGTGTCTTCAAATTCCACTGACAGCATATTAGATAGATATTGTCTGCCTGACGTTGTTGACTTGTGTATTTTGTCTTTTTTCCTTGATATTAGCACTTCTACCATGATTGACTTCTGGCCCGGTGTGCCACAATGTGGATATAACATGTAGCACATGCTATGTGCTGCTTGACGTGTTGAGTCGTATCCCAGCGACAAAAATAGACCAGCTACGGTGCCGTCAGAATGTGCTGTAGCCACATCAAGTGGATTTTGCCCGTTAGACTTTCAAAATAAATCTTGTGTGGTAAACATTGTGAACAATCACAGTTTAGCTATGCACAAAAACTACTTGGTTAGTTTAGAAAAAGATTGTAAGGTTAATTTCGCACTTGAGTATGTGAGTAAAACATAACTGATATGACCTGAAGTAACTTAAGTACATCAAGTGCGTTACTTAAACTGTTGGTTTCACACAGGACCCCAACAGCAGTCTCCTGGGTTAAAGTCCTGTGTTTTTTGAGCCACCCATCCACCCCACCAGCTCCATATATGGATTTTCTCACTCTTTATACTATGTCACTGGACTTTGACGGCGGGTGTGTGCAGAAATTATACTACAGGGATACCTAAAGTGTCATAATTTGTAGTGGAGGACCAGTGCACAGTGAACAAGTGGCAATATTTGATGACTTGGGAGTGAGACGGGTTGGATGGATAGGAAATCTCTCAAAAAGAGACAAAGTGGTTTGATCTCCACTTCCTGTAGTATGTAATGTAATGTAAAAGTTTGCCTCAATGAAAAATATGTGTAATATCTTTGCTCACTGGGTGAGTATTCAAAGGTAGCTCATTTAGACACACAGACAGTCTTTTGAAAAGCAGCTCAACTGAATGAAATCTTCAGCATGAGACAGCAGAAACACAACAAGCTCACAGAGGGTTTTGATCCTGAACTGTATGTCTGAAATATTGAAGGCTACAGTAAGTACAGATTAGAACTTTCTGTGTCAGTGTCAAGAAAATCTATTAGCCCTTCTTCCATCTGACAGGCAAGAAGCTTTCAAACTTCTCGTGGGACTGGATCCAACAGAGAAATCTGCTGGCAGATTATCAGTCGCTGTCAGTAACAAGGGAAGAGTTGTGGCAAACTCGCCTCAGCTGAAGGACTAACAGATGGATTGAACAATAAAGGATTTACAGTCATTTAACAACACACGCACCTAACAAAAACACACACTTACGTCCCATCCTCGTTGCTCCGGTAGAAGACGAGGAAAGGGTCAGACTTGCCAAAGAAATCCTTTTTATCCAGCTTGTTGGCACAGAGCTGCATGGTGGCTATGTCCTGGACGAACAACAACAACAGTTCATGGTTTAGTTCAGTCTAGCAGCTGGACTTGGAATTAATCCCCGTTTTTCACCATACCTATTTGTTCACTTGGACCTAAGGCCTATCTCTTGAAGACCTGAAAAACACACTGTGACCGATTCAGCACTGAAACCCTACAGGTTAAAGATGTATTCACACAAAAAGCAAAGCAAAATTTCTGCTCGATGAGATTACATATAAAGTCAATGCAAAGATGACACAAATAACATGAATTGGGCGAATACGTAAAATTCACCCCGTTTGTGATGGCCTTTGCCATCAGTGTATGAATTTGTATGAATGGATGAATGTGGTATGTAATCTAAAAGCGCTTTGAGTGGTCGGCAAACTAGAAAGGCACTATATAATTACAGTCCATTTACCATTTACTATGAACTGAGTTAGCATAGGCCCAGTCAATCCAGACAGACCTGACAGAGCCGAGAAAGATAGTTGAGTCTTTACCAGGGACCCAAAGTGCCAGTATTTGCTCTTTTGGGGATGAGACTCAACAACTTTTCTCATCTCTGATTGGTTGTTTTCGTCTAGGCCCAATGGAGTATTCCAAATGCCATTAGGAGCACTAACCTGATTTTGTCTCATGTACCACTGTCAGGATACAGTGAGTATAAGGTACAGTATAAGTTTCATCAAATATGAAAGACATTTATTTTTATAAAAGTTACCTACTGCAGCTTTAAATAGAACTGACATTTCATCCATGAAATAAAACTAACCAGGGATGTTTTTCCAGAGACAGACCTTGTGAACCATAACTAATAAATGTGAATGTACACTCTGAGTTCTGAAGCCCTCAAGGACTCTGCAGTATACCATCATCACTGCTATATGGCCTGCAGTGCGAGTTTAACCCTCCTCACATTCATATGCATGATGTGGTATGGTATTAATTCTGTATATACATTACAGCAAACTGCCTCCTCGGTACTCAAATCATTACCAGCTAGGATGTAATTGCCTACGTTTTCATGTGAAAGTGCATACTGTAATACCACTGTGAGCATGTCTGTGTGTGGGGTGTGTCAGTGCTTGCATGTGCTTCTCTCTTTGATTGCAGTGTCTAATTATTTACCCACTGTGGCAAGAAAAGGGGACTATAAGATGGGATAAATAATGCATGAGCGCCTCTCATCATCACTTTGAAGGAAAAGTACAAATTCACTTCCCACTCGATCCAGATGACAAAATTATTCTGAAGCCTGTGCGGTCATTTAAATTCACTTGGCTGGGTTAAAAATGGAAACACACAACGTGACTGTCATGAATTCAGACTGTAGTGCTTAACTTTTTGACCCCTGTCTTGGACTGTTTATATAACCCAGTGTGTGTGTGTGTGTGTGTGTGTGTGTGTGTGTGTGTGTGTGTGTGTGAAGCCTGGAGAAACAGTGTCCTGAGTATGATCTAATACTAACCCGGCAGTTACTGAGCTCCTCGGCTGAGAAGATGATCGTTCCACACTTCTTCCCAGGAATCCCACTGTGAGAGAGAGAGAGAGAGAGAGAGAGAGAGAGAGCTGAGGAACAATGGAGGACAACAAAAGAAATAAAGACTCGTCCTGCAGTTATTTGTGGTTGTATTTATGGTGACGAATTAGTCATGACAATTTTCTGTCTCAAAACAAGTATTTGTACACTAATATGGGTATCAGAAAATAAAATCATCCAATGCTTCAACGACCATCTTCAACGTAAAAGCTGTTACATAAAGTACTCATATTTGTTAATTTTGTCATTAAGAACTATAACCAGTGAAATTTCTTGGCACCTTTTTTTCACATTCAACATTTGAAAAAAATTCAGTACATTATAAAAAAATTATATATGACAAAATGCATTACAACTTGTCAACAAATAAAAACTAAATCAGTGGTTCCCAACCTGGACCATACATAGTCAGGGGTCGTCTGTTTACTCAATGATAGAAAAGGGGTCCCTTTAAGAAAAGAGGTTGGAAACCACTGACCTAAATGAGAAAAAAAGAAAGGGATGATCATTAGCAACCTGCATGCATCTGTAGATTATACTTGATAAAGGCACATGCTCCACCACCCAAAATATCTGTCCTTCAGAAGTTAATGTACCTCAGGAACTTGGGCACCAAAATCATACAGTGAGGAGACCGTATTGGGATATATAGGACATAGCAGAACCTTAAACTCTGCTAACATGTCCGTTCCTATATTCAACGTCCCTGGTTTTGTGACAGTCGCTTTTAGGTTTTACCAGTGGTTTCTTACTATAATAAATATGCTTTTATTACAAGGTAGGGTACTGTAGATTCCGCTAGTGCAGTGGTTCCCAACCTGGGGTACGGGACCCCCACTAGGGGTCACCAAAGCTTCACAGGGGCTCACAAGGCCTTCTTAATTTCAAGGGGTGCCCAAAAAAACTAAAAAAATATACAGAGTAGCCCTAAATATTTCATTTATTTCTGTGAAGAAAACTTCAGAAAAAAAACTGAAACAGTTATTTTTAAAGTTTATATTAAGATCTAAACTTTGAAGACCTGAACACAAGCTACATTCACATAGCCTTCACTCTCAGATAAACAGCTTCATCCTGCATTAGAAAAGTTCAAACAACCAAAGAGCTGATAGAACAATGAGATGAAAACACTGAATTTGTCAAAAAATAAGCCTATTATGTATGATTGTTCTGTTCCATTTTTTTTATTTAATTTGTATTTTCTTATCTGCTGTGTTGTATCTGGAGCTGCTGTAGCGGGTGAATTTCCCCAGTGTGGGATCAATAATGTCTATCTTATCTCATCTTAAAAATAAAAAATACATAATACAGAATTCCTAAAAATATCAGGAAAACACAATATTTACAGGACATAATCTGCTCAAAATTCCTCCAAATGGCTTGTTTTACACAAACTTCCTGCAGTTACTGTCAGGGGTAATCGGTTTACACAATAATTGAAAAGGGGTCCCTTAAGGAAAAGGGCTTGAAACCACAGCCCTACAGTATCAAAACATATAGGACCACGTAGGCAAATGTATGTGGTCCTAACAGGTTTTGGTTTCCTGCTGTTGCATTTTGTGCCCAAATCTAACCAACCTTAACCATGGTGTTGTCAGACAGATAAAACGGATACATTTTTCCATTAATGATTTGTAACAGTTTTGGAAGGGACAAACAAATGTGATCGTGCTTGTAGGGCAGCCCAGTCTCACGTCAAGGCAACTAACACACACACAATAGCTCTGCCAAACCACGAGGGGATACTGTGTCAGTGTCACGTTTTTCTTCACCTAGATGTGAAAATTACACGCATGTACAAAGGTACAGTATAACGAGCTAATGGATAATGTGTGAAACCAAAAGTCTATGTTGAGTTGTCAGGTACATAACGTAACTTACGATCTTTTCCTAAATCTAACCAAGTAGCTTTGCTGCCTCAACCAAATCAAAAGTGTAACTGGAAGTTGCATATTTATTATTGCTGGTGTGAACGTGGAATGAGAATGTGACACTGCCATGTTAAGCGGGTGTGTGTATTACAAATTTTGGCATAATACTGGGTTGGACGCTTCTATATGTCGTTCTAGGGCCCTGTTTAATTTGCAAGACTTGTTGGTTATATCAAATATGGCTGAAACACACCTGGTCTTTACAGGGCTTATACACTGGACTCATGCATAGAAACAATGTTGGAAACAAAGAAAAAAGCACTTTTAACAATGCTTTGGAAGCTTTGACCATCATAAATGCTTCATGCAGCAGGCTACATGATTTTTGACCTTCTCTTTCTCCTCTGGACGTCTGTAGATGGAGGTGATCCTTTGCCGCAAATCACACACTCAGACAGTAAAGTACCCCATTTTGGTCACATTGCATCCTGGTAATTTTTCAGAGCAGAAGTGACAGGCGTACTGACCCCAGATCAGATCCTCACAATTATCATACAGGAAGAAAGAGAGGACTTTTCCTCTGGAGACACGTCACCAATCTTCTGTAAGGTCACAGCTCAGTTCCTGCCGCCTAATTTCTCTCTGGGGAGATTGGACTTTTCATTCGGTGATGAATTACAGAACAATCTCGGTAATTGTATTGAAATTGGATCTGGATTAGAAAACGGGGCCTGAAGTCATTTCTCAAAGGGGGGAATCCCCGGGACAACAGGGGCTCAGTGCTGTTTACTGCTCTGCCTTTGAGCTGCTGGAAGATGCTTTGTTGCTGCTGCTGTTCCTGTACTCCCTTTAACACACCTGCTCCGAACTAACAGACAGGCTTTCAGGAATTTTCTGCCTAATCTTCAAAGCTCCTTCTATCTTCTCTAAAGACGTGTTCAGACTCAACACAAAGAAACTTTTAGAAGCACAGTCATTGTTAAGATGCAAGACAACAGTCCATCCTGGGTGGTGCGAATTGAGGCAAAAAGGCATCCCTGAGTGTGTGTTTGACACACCTTGAGAGCTGGTGGGGGTTTTAGCCTCCAGCATATTCAATATTCTACATGTTTCTATAGTCTTCATCAGGTGTTTTTCCTGCAGACCCCTGTTTCTTTCAACACCGTAAACAATGTAGGCTATACATTAATTAATACATTTATTCTAATCATCACGACTTGTGCATTGCTCTGTTCTTTGAGCTACACAGGTCCAAAATTTGACACTTTCCCTCTTCACGGTCCAGAACATCTGTGTGTGAGGGGATTACACCCTGACAGGAAAAAGCTGCATAATTAAACTCAAGTCAAACCCAAAAAGAAAGTTGGGAAACCTTTATCATCAACTGGAAAATTCCCTATGGCTGCGAGTCACACTCTACCTCACATCACGACACAGCGATTCGCTCCATCCAATTGAGGCTGCGCTGCTGCGAGCGGGTCCGCCTGATGCTGCGCTGTGATTAAAATGCCGGCTGAGATTCAAGGATGTCGCCATAAACATCCGTGACACATACGGGCGCACAAACACACCAGAACACAGGCGGAATTCATTATGCCGGAGGGAACCACAGATGATACTACTGCACACGCACACACACACACACACACACACACACACACACACACAATATGTTCTCCTTGAGAGGCTGTTGCTTGTAACCTTGAACCGTGTTCTCGCCACAGTCAGTCTATTGTTCATTCCTCAGCCTTTTTGTGAACACAGTCACGTAACCCCGGCTGAATGAGGGCAGGTAGAAACCTCAAACACCTTCACTAGAAGCAAGAATTAATTTCTACACTTCCTTCCTCTCAGTGTGATTTTCTCTTTAATCAATCTCTGCTGACCCTCCCACTTTAACAAAGAACGCTAACAGTGATATATGAGTGTCCAAAGGCTGCGATTGCTCTGATAATGACTTCTGCATGGGGATACTCACAGCATGGTGCACACAAAGGAGCACAAGCACAGCACGATGGAAATTTATACAGCAAGGATGAATAAAATAACTTAAAGATGGAAGTAATCAAAGAAAGTGTGTGACTGCGTGTCTCTGTGTGTTTGACAAGTCCTTCAGCAGGAGTTTTCCTACACATTTCTTGTCCTCCTCCCACATCTTCCACTGCCTGATGTGGGTCCCCACTCCCACACATGTTATACAAGATTTCACAGAGACACACACGTATGCATACACAGTTACAAAACAGTAATATACAAAAACTAACCAAAAAAGCCCCCATACTCTTTTACCCTTTTACCCTTTTGTGTGTTGAATTAAATGATTGAAGGTAGAAATTTTGTATTATACTCAGTTAGTGATTTGTTAAGAAGAATAAACTGACAGGGCAGGACTGAGAGGAAAAGGCACAGTTACTGATATTTCAGTGCCATGGTTGGGGCCATAGATTCTAACTTGCACAAACCTCAGTCAGATAAAGCATCAGTGATAATCTAGACTAACATATTCAACTAAACAACCCCTCTGCCCCTATGCACTCGCTGCTATAGGGGATGGAGAAGGAGGATGGAAAGGGGATTGCATTTTGGTCATTTTGCTAACAAGGGGGATGGCATCCCACTTCATATTGGCTACTGATTATACTTTCATGAAGATGAGGGACTCGCAAGAGGCAGAAAAGAAAAACAATAGCCAAAATCAAAGCAGCATAGACCATCTAAACTAATGTTGACTTCTGCCATAAAGCCCTCTAACAGAAAGGCTTTAAAACGTCAGGTGAAATATTATAAAAAGGGACAAGTCTATGTGAGGGGAATGTTATGGTGGATATATTGGTCAAGCACAACAAGGAGTTTAGAGTTCAAGTCTTGTGTGAGACAAGTTTTAGACTATATATTATATAACCCCTCTGTGGCCATGTAAGGACATCACATACTTGTGGCGTGTATACAATTTGACTAACCAGGGCTCTCACCGGTGAATGTAGACAGCAAGCCATTGACCTCCTGACTATGTGTGCAGTGCAGGGGATCCCTGACAGAAATGTAAATAAATGCATGGGAATAAATGTAAATGGGACGCTTTCAAAGCACTCCAGTGCAGTGCCTGGATGGCTTCCACCGC